GCTCTATTCTTGATAATGAAAATTTTGTTTCATTCAACATTGAAGTAAATCTGGACTGATATGATCATAATGATGCCTTGATGCAAGTTCACAAATCACCAATTAAAGAAATCACATTATCAACTTATAGGTAGTACAGTTTATTGCTAGTTTAGAGTCCTAAACTTTTAAATAGTAATAAAAAACAGCGATTTAAGTAACAAGGCACACTTATCTTTCTGAACCGTAAAAACTTTTACGGTAAAAAGCACATTCTGTGTGTTCCCGTAATTTAGAGGCACACGTGACAAAAACATGTGCAGTATCGCGTGACCGGTACTTTGGGACGCCCCATCACTATTGTTCCGTTAAATCGTTATCACCTCACTATGGACTGGGGTGCGATAACGTAATATATTATTGTCTTTTCATAGTAGGAAAGTGTTTAGGCTACTCGTGTGAAAGGTTCTTTATAACGTAGATAAGTTATGGCTCTTGTGGCATTTATAAATGTACTAGGTAATTGTAACTGTGAAAATTCTCATTCTATACGGTAGTACGAGTATAATGAATTAATGAATAACCATAGGAAACTAATAGAAAATTCAGTACGTCCGTAAGAGGTTGTAGGACTTTGACTTGACAAGTTTTTATAAAATTCATATTATATTAACATGTAATATCAAAATATCTCTTAATGTAAAACGCTCTATAATTCTTCCCATATAAATATGATCAAATTCTGACATACAGATTTAGAACTTTGCTTAATAATGCGATTGACACCGCTTTTATGTGGCCTGCACATCGCGTAACTCAAGTTTATGTTCATGTTTATAGGTGTCTGTTACCTTATTCAGTAGGATACAAAAAAATGATAATGTGATTATAAGACATAATAATAGAATGTTACAAAGTTATTATTAAAATATGTGAAGCATTTAAATCCACCGTATCGCGTTATAGGCACGTGCAATCTTGATCTCAGTAAGACGAAACGTTCGCCCTTCACATTGCTTGATCTATGAAAAAAAACACCGCTGTACAATATGCCTCACATTTTAATGCCAGACCCTATAATAACGAATTAATACCATATAATTAACATTTCAATCCATACAGCAATTTAACTGAGTATGTTTCCTTTCTTTTGTGGTCTATTAAAAGATTATGATAAATTTATGAATATATTTATAGTAAAAAAATAAATCACAATTGAATTTCGTTATTTGGAACTTTTATGTTAGTTCTCAGATATACTTTTCATCTTATCACATCTATGTTTTTCTTGTAGTAGGTACTGTACTACTAGCAAGTAGGTATTATTAAAAAAAATACTGCATACCCAAGAATACTGTAAATATTGTTTTAACCAATTTAAATCTGTGATCCAATTCGAGAGTAATTTTTAGTATTATATATGTATATATATATATTATCGTAACGTCATCAATATGCGTTTCGTTGTTGTTTTGCCTACGCCAAAACAATAATTTATTTAATATGTTTGTTATTGAAATGACATATTTTATTGCGATCATGCCAAAATGTAATTACACGTAACTCTGATAAAATTGCATACTTCCAGAAGTAAATGAGCTATATAGATAAACAAATCATTATTATTCTTTCATAGATATTATATCGCATTGTAGATATAGCGATAGATAACTAGGAAGTCTATACCAATAAATAAAATTGAAGTATCTGTTTGTAGTGTTAACTTAACAGCTTTTCACTAAATGCAAAGGAAAGTAGGTACTATATATACGATATTTACATAAAAAAAAATTAAAACAACAGACTAAGATTAGCAATAATAAACAGACTAAAAGATTTTGAAACGGATAGATCAATTTTGACGGGCTAATGTTTATAAGGAGTAACTTAGTTTTATATTAATAAAACAAGTGCTATATCAGGTAGACTGTAATAATCTTCAGAAGAAGAAGGTCCTCTGTGTCTATGATATTTAGGTACGTAAATATGCAACTATCAATGTATTTCTACATTGATTGCACTGAACGTGAAAAATGTCACCACTTGTTCATTAAATACAAAATGTCACTTTAATTGTAACTAATGGTTGCGGAAAGGTGTCAACTTGTGACCTCTGCCAACGTCTCGAGTAAGAATCTTACCTTAACTGAATTATGAACATAAAAGTAGTTTTGTAAGTTTATTTTTTTTACATTGAATAGATGTTAATACTAGTAGTAATTACTGTACATTACTACATCGTTTTGAAGTCTCAATACGTCGTTTGGATTTAATTTATGAATAGTTTTAAGTCCCCATATTCATTTCCCTGTTTTTCCGCGACTTTTGCTATGATTTTCTCTAACACTTCGAGAATTTCTTTCGGAGGATTTTGACGGCCTCGGCAGTCTAGCAGTGTATATATAGCACATCGTTTACTTCTTATTATCGCGCATTTGATTCTTCGGACGATACAAAAATTTGTATTCTTGCATATGGTTATTTTTATTGGTCTGTGTATTTTCTATGTATAATATGTAAGTATTTACAAATAAAATATGTTTAAGTATTTCTATCAGTTGCTTAATATCCATAAGACAAGCCTTGCAATGCTTAGGACTAGATGGTGCTACGTGAATTATACTTTACACATAGAGCCTCAAGTTTTGCAGAGCTTGTGTTATGATGCTTTATTATTACATAATATGATTTCCGTCACATGCACTATGCAATGTGCATATCGAGGTGGGTTGCTAGTTCAGTACAAATTATTGACGTGAACAACGACTCTGATTGCTATGTTACGTTATTCACAACTGATAATCTATATACGGATAAGAAAAATGAATAATTAAATAATTATTTACTTACTAAATCGTCACAACACCTAATTATTGCTTGTAATAGTGACCACATTATAAAAGTAGGTAGGTATTGTATATGGTTTGTTTACATTACCCATTCACCTAGTGTGGCAGGGTAAGTCTGTACGGCTGGTGTCAGGAGTGGTACCGCTGACCCTCGAGATCAGGAGACGGACCTTTTAAGGATCGGCGCCGGGCCCGTGTGTTGCAACAAGCGTGCTCGAACATGCGAGATTGAGGTCGGAGCTTCGGTAGGGCTGATGAATACTATTCAGGGGCGATGTTGTATAGTTTGAATACCCTTGATTTGTATAGGTTTGAGTCTTGTTACAATTGATCGGGCTATGTCGCATCTCGTATTCAATTAAATAGATATATAAGTCATTAAAAATTTATGTTTCTCTACAAATTCTAACAATCATTGTTCTATTTAATTAGTATACTTACAGTCTATATGTAAATATGAAAGTACTTACTCCCTAAATAATTGTCTTATGAGACTAGTAGTAGGATTATGAAGAGTTGTAATGATAATTCACTATTTATTATTGCATTCTTGTTCTTATCCTAATTTCTATAATATTCTAATAGTCTCTGTTAATTTTATACTGTTGTCGAATTTAATATTTTAAATCTTTTATTATTTTCGAAAGCCTGTCAATGACTTTGTGTGTTTTATATTGATTCAATATCTGTATAATCAGCCTTGGTTTTTCTTGAATAAATAAATAAATATAAAAAAAACATCGTAAGTATGTATAACACTTACGAACCTTTAAAATTAAAAAACTATTTTCCAAAGTGTTATTCTTATTGGATATAGTATCACTTCAAAAGGCATGCATACATGTGCTTTATCTTATTGACATTATCAATAATTCCAAAAAATTCAACTAGCAAATGTCATCAAGTGTACAACTCTGTTTACTTTACTAGTACGTGTCTACATATACAGTGAAAATATCACTAAGTTTCAATAAATGTAATATGGGACAGTCAAAACAATTCTCTAATCTATATTAATATATATGTATTCTTGTCTTCTGGTCAATATAAAAATAATATTACCTTTTTAATAAATAAATTTTAACTTGGTAATAAATTTTACTTAAACGATTATTCTTCTTTCTAATTTGAAACATTTTGGCTGCCGGTATTAGAGGAATGTTGAGAAGATGGAAGAAGCTGTTATACATAAAGTTATAGGATAGTAGAAGAAGATCAAATGAATTCATTCACTACTTTCCAAGTTTCACGGGTAGTTGTGCAAGTTGACTCAAGAATCTTGATTTCTATGAAAACTAAACTAGAGAAACCTTTTGTTGATAGTAAACCGTCTATAATAAAGTTCATATTACTTTATTTTTATCAACATAAATTTGGGTAAATCTCGTAATAGAATTTTAATTGTAGTCCAATTAGGTAGTAGTAGTGTGTACTTTATGGAATTTAAATTGACACGAGAATAAATTTGCACACATATGTAACACCTGTAATATCTATTAATTCCGGTGTAAGTACATTATAAAAACAATTTCAAACAAAGTATTTGGGTTTCTTATGTAACTGGCATAATCACACGTATTTTCAAGGACTAAATTATTGTGAACTCATTTGGTAACCACCTCTTGTATGATCGGAAGCGCGTGCGCATGACAATAGCGATCGACATGCTAAGCTTTCGCATTTTAATTTCGCTTGTTGTGCACACTGACCTTGCTTGAAGCTGATTATGAGCTATATGATTTCATCCTGTGATAATAGGTACTTATAAAGGTACCTTAATCCTTACTTATTATTGTAAATGCGAAAGTAACTTTGTATGACTGTCTGTCTCGCTTTCACGATTAGATTATTTAATATTTTGTTTTAATTAGTCTAGGTCACTGTTCCACGCGATCGAATTCGCGGGGACAGCTAGTTACATATATTTCTATAAATAGACTTTTAGGTTGAAGGGAGCATTGTAGTGCAAGCACATATATATATGTCAGCAAAATAGGCAATACATATTCCAATAAGCAGGTCATACTCATTTTATTATCCTCCCCTGGAGCACCGTCAGCGAATTCAGTCTGCGTAGGTGGATCGACCATTGCATTTTAATCCATTAAAATATACCTATTTTAGAATTTTATTAAAAAGTAGTAAGTAAATTCATGTTTTTTTTCTTTCCAGTTGGAAAACGTGCAGTGCTGTTTGGATTTTCTCCATGCGCAAAAAGTCCAGGGATTGGAACAAGTTACGGCAGTGGATATACGGGACGCGAAGCTAAAAGCTGTGTTGGCACTATTTTTCGCTCTTAGTCGACACAAACAAGCGTCAAAACAAAGAACAGCGCCACCTAGCGGAAATGCGACAAACGCAGCGAAAACTTCAAGTGATGACATATCTGTAAACTCCGTTCAACGCATAACAGGTGGCAGCAGCTGCGATGAAATATTAACAGCCTGCGGTAATAACGTCGAAATGACGACGTTAACAGCCAACAGGTAAGTTTCATTCTTCTTATTAATTATAGTTTTTAATCTTCCCTTAATAATTTTATTACTCTACTTATTTTACTTCTAATTATATTAAGCAATATAGCGCCATCTCTTGTCAAGTAGCTAAAATTATATTAACTGTATTAAACTTTCTTATAATTAAAGACAGATGTCAGTATTTGTATTTTTGTTGTTCTAAAATAAACACACTATTTATAATATACATTTTTTTTATGAATGATAATAGAATTACGAATTGACACTCTAAATTTGCTACTAAATAATAATATTCGGTAGTATAGTATAGTATTTATCTACGTTAAAATATTATCAGCAACCAAGGGTTACAATTTAAAATAGTTATTGTAAATTACAGAAATAAATAATAAATTACTAAGTGTAGAAATAGCAAAATTTTGGAATGTCAAATGTTGCGTTCAATACGACATCGACAGTTGACAGTGCCTCCGACTACTCCGTCTGGGATAACAGTCGTGACGCATTGTTATGTTATGAAATAGGATTTCCACAATCCACGTCATACATTATTAAGTAGATAGTGAAATATTAATGAAGTATATATATTTTAATACAAATCGCTATCTAACCAATTAGAAGATATACCTAACGAATTACCATGTAGTTATCTATAATATGTTCTATCTTAATTAGCTCAAAGGCATTTTTATTAAACATATTGATGCTGTATTAAAAAACTATTTATTCACAATTGGAAGACATTTATCTTCAATCTACTTATAACAATAACCCAGAACAATCCACACAGCGCCGTTTAATCCAAAGCAGAACTTGTATTATGGTTACTAGATAACTGATATCAATAAATATTTTTTAGTAAATACATACATAATAATAAATAATTACTCTTGAACAAAATGGCTAAGCTACCTAGCATATAAGTAATAAAATATTATTATTTATGTTAGTGAATACGAGTAATGTATTAAATAAATAAATCAGTACCTAAAGTAGATTAATAATCCTATACCTATTGCATCGCGCCATCTGGGCCCAAATTATACAGTACTAGGGCAACTCGATATTAAACTTAGTACCTACTTGTAATATCGATATTAAACTTCTGATAATAATGAATTAGTTATTACTAGTATTATTACTAGATAAAAAAACGGCGCTAAGTACAACTTAGAAATACTTGACAACCATAATCAGTGGCTATTGGCTAAACTCGTACTTATAAATAGTAATACGTTTCAAGAAATACTCGTAAATAATTCTCTTTTACTTTTATACTATGACTAAAATACTCGTATATTCTCCAACCGCATAAGTAGGTACGTTTTTATAATGTGTAATACATAATAACGACCTCCTGGAGGTATCTTCTGAAAATCAAGTATTTTTTAGCGCTTCAAGGTAGGTACTCCGAAAATTTCTGCGCTTACGCTTTACAGCAGGCGTTCCTATAATGGTTGATAAATCCATCGCGTTCACCACGCTTTTATATTTTACCCAGTATTTTATAGATTTCCGTAGATTAGCTGAGGACATAAAAATGTTTTGTTACGTCTATAATTTTATTTATAGACGTAACAAAACTTAAATATCCACTACATAATTATATTTCTCATTCACTCACAGGCGGCAGCATCATTTGCATTCAATGGCAATTAGATCTAAATCTAAATATATGTATATATAGTATACCTGTATAGTATAAAATGTAAATAACCAATATACTCTTAAATGAAGCACCTGCGCCAATTTTTATAGAAATCGTCATTGTTAGTTGACTTGCGAATCAAATAACTCAATTAAAAATAATTCAGTGATGTCTATTTCTATTTATAAAACTTATAGATAGTACTTACCTACATACATTAAAACGGAAGATCGGAAATGCCTACCGCAGTGCCAATAATTCTTGCGCTACCATCGCGAGGCGACTGCCCAGTGACATTTCTATTTCAGTCACTAGCGCCCTCTATTGGCGAGTTGCCGAGATGATGCTCGTAATTTTCGGTTTACTCATATTCTATGTTTGTAAACAAAGAAGACAAAAATAATTGAAATGTAATGAACAATCGTAAGTCGTATCAATCTTTAATGGAAATACTGGATGTTGATTTTTTTCTTATGGATGATAATGGAATGGTGCATTAGCCTGCGCTAACGGTATACGCAGGCGGGGCACCAGTGGAGGATGATAAGATTTGAGTACCTATGAGGTAAATGACGTGGTACATTGCTAACAATGAGGGTACTAACAATCGCTTGGGAGGAAGGGATTGTTTGGTTAGGGGTGTTCATCCAGTTACTAGAGCAATCTGGTTACTTATCTTATATGTACCTGTACACATAAGATGGGGTTATATATTATATTGTTTGGTACTTATTTCATATTATAAAATAAATATATTTCTTGTTAGCTACAGCTACATAATTATTTTATCTCATGCAGTGCAGCATCCCGTCGCGTCACATAATCACAGACTAGACGTAAAGTGGCGCTATTATTAGGCTATTACCATACTGAGCGTTGCGATGCGATGCTACGAACCACGCCGCATTTTGCTGCGATTCAAAATCTGTTCAATTAAAAGTGGATCGAAAATATAGTAAGGAAATATATTTTCATATGTGTGTATTAAATAATGCAATTATTTAATATCCTCCGTTGAGTGTAGATATGACCACCTTGCTGATAGCAGTGTTTGAACTTTACGTTACATATTATTAAGGTAGATATAATTTAACTTAAGGTCTTTGGTCATAAATTATTATAATCCTAATATGTGCGATGTGCCTCTTAGCTCGACATGCAAAGTAAACTCAACAGATTATATAAAATGAATACTATTATTATTCGTATATATCCCATTTTAACCCCGCGAATAGTTGTGAATTTAATACTTTTTCACAAAAAAGGTAATTTTTTGTGGTGTCACAGATATTCAATGCTACCAAGCATATGACACTTACCGTCACTCAACCCTCTCGACTCCGGTCAATGCTTCTGATTACGAAGACAATACGAGGATGTCACGTCAACTCGATGGAGTCCCGAACTCGAGGCACGACAAAAGACTAACATGGCATTGTTTCATTTTGTTGTCGCATCACCGTCGCTACTGTCGCTTGCGCCGCATCAATAGGCCGTGTGGTGCGCGCACGTGCAAGAAATATCTTTTGTATTACAAAATATATTATAACTTTTTTAAGTAGTTGTAATAAGGTTATTTATATACGGTTTCATTAAATTCAATGAATTTTGTAATAAATTATTTTACTCTATGTTATTTTGTTATAAAGTGCTAGCAACCCTGAATACGTAGCTTATTAAATTGTTATTAGCCGCTTTAATGTGTCGCAAATCCTCTATGACGGAGAACGCTAACATTATTTCAGAGAACAACTTTACATACCATTTATTACATTGTAAACATCATTAAGATGTTACATTATAATTCCTACTATAAATTTTGTCTTTCATATTAATTTTGCTCAAAGAGGTGTGTACTTACTTATAATAATATATTCGATAGTGTAACGAATTGTTAAAAGTTAATACACTAGACTTTTTCTATGCAACATAAATTATACGTTATACTTTATGAACAATACTTAAACATCGATATTATAATTGCCTTTCTAGACTAGCGCTATTCTATTACATGGCTAGAGTAACGTTTGTGGCTTGATAATAATTATCTAAACGTCTAAGTGATATTAGCTAGAAAGATTTGTTTTTGTCTGTATTAGATAAACTCGAAAATTACTTAATCCAAATACTGTACTAACTCAATATATATACATAAACTATAAAAGTTTTCATTATCAGCAACTCACATTGAGTTGTAGCTTATTTTTAGATAAATAAGAGATCTCTGATAATTGTACTTGTACTACGAAGCCAAGAACACTAGTTATCCCTACTGCCATTGCATTTGTAAGAAGTCACGGTCGTTAGATACATTATATAATTAATTTAAGCAAAAATGGAAAAGTGAGAGCATTTTGATGCAAATGCAACTTGCCAGTCTCTGAATCGCTGTTTTTCTTGCAGTCCTCTTAGGTGAACAACCGAGGTAGCCCGCTAAACACAATGGATCCACTTACCTTAAAGGGACACGCCTTGTACGGAATGACTGCATAACATTGGTCTGACTGCTCAGATGCCATACAATGTGATCTCTACATCGTTAGAATAATAATATATTAATGTTGGTATTGAACATATGGTTCATTATTCTAAAATCAGTATTAGTTGTAATCATAAAATATTATTTAATTAAAACGATTTAATTGTTTTCCCAAGTATTTATTTCTGTTTTTAACTTGTTCACGGCTATTTACAATTGCACACCTTATATATGGGATATTTGCCGTGATACACCTAATATTATTATAGTAAATATCTAGATCATATAATATCGACAAGTTATAATTAGTATTTAATGTGACTTTAGTTTTTTTCATGGATTTTTGTATTCTTCATATTACTTAAGTAAATTAAATTTGCGTAAGTAGGTAGATCTTTAATTTATTCATGAAAATTGGTCGGATACCAGTCTAAAGCGAGAGGTACAACAATAAAGGGAAATCTACTTTCCCCCGTATTACCTATTGCTTTATAACTCACTTGTGATGAAAATTTACACACATTTAGACTCAATAATATATTTCAAGGGCCTCCTCCAAGAGTTTTGTGTTAGTGGAATTTATTTTTATATTATTTATACACTAAAATTTCAATGCGTGTGATTATATATTATTTTTTTCAATGGATGATAACGGAATGTTGCACCTGCATGCGCTAACGGTTTGTGCTCGCAGAGCACCAGTGGAGGATAATAAGAAGAGCAGGAGGTTAGGTCAGTTAGCACATTGTGACAAATTCACTAGGATCTTATTACTATGGTTTCCAGGGGGGACGCCGTGGACGTCAACTTGACATGGTACGTAGCAATGGTTTTATATCCACATTATTAACAATTCCATTCCTACCGTGTGATTATAATTAG